GGGTTTCCTTACAGACTTCATTCAAAGTATATTTTTCAGTCTAATCTAAAAATATGTAACAGAGTTTCCTGAGCAAAAAAGATGATACTGAAAAAAAGTTCTACATAAACAGTGGTTTTATATGTAGTAGCTAACAAAAATAATAAAATCATTGAACTTCAGAGCTGTTTGAGCTTCGTCCAGATGTTTTGACTAAAGTTCTCAGTATGGCAAATTTATATCAGTTCTGAAGTTAATCTTCCTATGCCCTTCCCACATCCTCAGGGAAACTAAATTCACTATTTTTGTTGATAGTTGGCCTTTAAAATTCTAAAGTTAAAATCATATTGTAAAGTTAAAATCATATACGTGGTACTTTGGCTCATGAACTTAATTTGTTTTATGATTTGGGGGAAGATGGCCACATTTGTGTTGGTGTGGAGAAGATGGCTGTAGTTATTTTTGTCACCTAATATAGAATTTCACGAATGGAAGCAAACTTTTGTTGAGTGCTTGTGTTTGAGAAAGGAATTTTGTACAAACAAAAGCATTTGTGAACTAAAGTATTATATATTTGCTTTATCAAAATCAGTACACTTGTTAAAATTTTATAGTTTAGAAAATAGCTTCTTATAAACATAAGTTATATTATCAAGGTGACTTGGGGAAGAATCAGGTTTTTTTGTTGTTGTTGTTTTATTTCTTTTGGTACCGGGGATTGAACTCATGACCTCATGCTTGCCAATCAGGCACTTTTGCCACTGAAATATATTCCCAGCCCCAAGAATCATTTTTTATAATTACTTAAATTCTGAAAGTTTAAGGAAAATAAAATGCCATGCTGTTATAGATCTAATCATCCTGAAATACTTTTTGCTTAAGGGCAGATAGTGTTTACATTGTAGAAATTCACAAATTCTACAAATTTTTATTTTGTTTTGTGTTGGGCTAATTGTTAATTGCTTACTAGCATATCACTAAGGCAATCACAGGCCATGTATATAAGAAAAGACCTATGAGGCTTCCTTGATTATAAAACTACTAGAACTGAAATTTTGCACAGACACATATTCTCCAACTTCTTGAGGTTTAATTGAATAAAAAAGGGAATAATGTCCATGTTCTATGTAATGTTATATATATTTAAGCTTATATAGCCATGTTGTCCAAGAAATTAATGGAAGTCACATACCTTAGAGTCTATACCTTAGAGTATAACTCAAATTAGATGTGAAATAGTCATTAGAAATACTGTATCTGAAAGGAGAAAAGGAACTTGGGAAAAGATTGTATGTATATAGGTATATATATGTGTGTATGTGTATATATATATGCAGGATAGATAACTATACTACTAATCTCTATACATTCATCAAAAAGAACAATTTGTGCTCTCATTGTCTGATCGTTTGATCATTTTTTCATGCCTCAGTCTTATAACCTGAAGGACTACTTCTAAGATAGCAATATGTAATATATTAACTAGTGTTAATTTCCTTTTTTAAAAATTCTGTATCTTTTTGTTTTGAAAAGAAAAGGAAACAAAACAAAACCAAAATAAAGAAATACTGTGTCTGCAGCTGGGACAGTGGTCCATCCCTGCAGTCTCAGTATAGAAGAGGCAAAGCCAGGAAGACTAGAAGTTCAAGGGCAGCCTGGGCAGCTAAGCAAGACCTTGCCTCAAAATAAAATCAAAATGGCTAAGAGTGTAATTCGGGGCTAGAGCACTTCTGTAGCATGCAGTGAGGTTCATTTGCCAATACTACAAGAAAATAAAACTTTAGATGTCATAAAATTTATAGTTAAATAGTTTTATAGTTAGTTGCTGATGCCTCAAGTAGTTTTATTGTTAGTTTCTAATACCCCATTCTTTAAAATTTTACAATTACTAAGTTGAATTTTGTTTTTATATTTTAAATTAATTAAAAATAAATAAAAATTTGATAGTCCCACTCATACTACTATTGTTATGGTTTAGATCTGGAGTGTCTCCCAAAAGCCTTATGTGTTTGAATCATGTGGAAGGTGTTACGCTCATTGGTGAATTCACCTACTGGTAGATTCAACAGCTGAGTGTGATGTTGGAGGCGGGTTCCGGGTTGGAGGCAGATTCCTGGGCATAAAACCTGGAAGTGATTAAATCTCCCTGTCCCTGGCTTCTCCACTCACGGTCTGCTTCCTGGTCACTATGTTATGAGCACCCTTCCTCTCTCTTGTACCATGTCATTTCTGTCTTAGAGCCAACCATGGACTGAAAATATGACCCAAAATAAACCTCTCTTATAGTTAATGGTGTCAAGTAGTGGGTTCTAGCGACGAGAAAGTGACTAAGAAAGCTATGTTTCAAGATTCAATAATAGCTACATGTAATAGTGGCTACCATATTTGACGGTGCAACAGAATACAACATAAGTAATGCTTTACAGAAGCTCCTTTATTTGTACCTGCTTAAAGTGTAGAATCAAACTATTTCATTTTTCAGTGTCTTTGTTTTCTGAGGTAATAAATCTTTGAAGAATGATAAACTAATACGTAAAACAGTTTGACAATAGAGATTTTAACTATTGGTATAATCATAAAATTATTCACATGGTATTATAGTAGCTGCTTTTTTTAACATGTCATGTTTTTAGCAGATAATAAGCTGCATTTTGAAGAAGTTTAACCATGTTAGGTGTTAGCAATAAATGCTAAACATCAACAGGGTGTTTCATCCTTAAAGGCCTTCACACGTAGTCACTAATCTGATAACATCATTTGCATTAGAAGTGAATTTTGAGGCCAAAGAAGGCCTTTCTGCTCAACAAAACCTTCACTATACTTGTATATATATATATGTACTGTATTACAGAATGTATGACAAGTGTTAATTTTTTTCCTGAGTAATGAATAAAATATTCATATTAAATAACTTTTCCTCTGACTACCATGATAAACTAATCCCAACAGATAAATGTTTTACTTCCTTAATGTTTACTCTTTTGTGTTCTACAAAACTAAAAAGTCAAGTACCGCTTTCTTAAGTACATAAAATGTGTATTAAATATCATTTTATTGTATTTAATCTCTAGACTACCATCAGAATAATTATAATACATGGGCACTACCGTTCTCAAAATACTTATCTGTATCATTATCTCAACAGCACTAAAACATAAGCTGGACAGGTTTTATTAAGTGGACTTTGTAAATAAAAACCCACTCTCTAAGGCTAAGTGACTTGCTCAAAGTTAATGATCAGTGCAAGAACTAGAGCCCTAATCTCTTAAGACACATGATTTTCACCACCATTTATCAAGTGCTTATTAGATACTGGAGAATATGTTAAACATTATTGAGGCTTTACCTGTTTAATGGTCTCAATTTTACAACATAACTATTTACAGATGAAAAATATAAAGTATGATGAAGAAAGGCTGTTACCAATAGGTCCCTTTTGTTTTGTTTTGTTTTGCCTGAAAGCCTGTGTTCTTAATTTCTATACTGTGCCAAATCTAAAACTGAAACATCGTTAGGGTAAGCAATGGGGAAATAACATTCATTGGAAATAGCTACTATCTACCATATATTAATTGCTAAGTATAGTGCTAAGCTCTGCAGTTACTGTTGTATTTTATATGTACAACACCCATATTAGTTTATTAGTTTTCTCACTTACAAATGAGGACATAGATTCAGTGTCACAGGCAGAATTTAAAACCATGACTATGAATCACATACTCTGGAGTTCACTTTGCCATTCTGCTTATTTAAATTTCAAGTACACTGCTGTTTCCCCTATTTCTTGATGGCTGTTATGGTTGATACATTATGTCAACTTGAAAAGTTTAATGCAGTAACTCAGCAGGGGGCTATGTTCTTCTCTTTGTAAATATCTTCAGCCTATGCAAGAGGAAGGCAGGGGGATTTTATGATTGCTACCCCTGCCCTGGGGTTGGAGTGGTATCCTACTTAGAGTATAAGGAGAACTCTTGCTGCCTTTGCTGACTTCTGCCACCTTGAAGTGTTGCCCAGTGCCATGCCACCCTGCCTTGGATCTAGCTATGAGCTGAAATCTCCACAAACTGTGAGCTAAATAAACCTTCCCTTCCTTAATTTTGGGTGTCAGGTATTTAGTCTCAACAAGAGAAAAGTAACCAAGACAGAATTTGGAACCAGGTATGAGGCCATTGCTATAACTATACCTGACCATGTGGTTCAGGAGCCTTTGGGAATAACTTGTGGGAAGAGTTTGGAAAGGTTCAGAGGTGTTGCCTAAAAGAGTAGATCTGGAGCACCTTAGGCAGTTCTGTATGGGAGATTCTGGTCAGAGCTCAGAAGACCAGAAGGCTAATGGAAATTGTGCTGGTAAAGACCAGATTCAAGAGGTTTCTGTTGTGAAGAATTGCACTCGGTGCTGGACTCCAGAGGATGTATGTTATGGCTTGGCAAAAAGTTTGTCTGCACTTCACTCATGTCCAGAGACTTTGCCTGAGACTGAGATTAAGGGTGGCAGACTATATCTGGCAAAACAAATTTCAAAGTAATTGAATGTTGAGGCTGCAGCATGGCTATTATTGAGGGCTTTTAGCCAGATCTATGTTGAGAATCAAGAACAAATAACCCAACAGGATGATTTAGAATGCTGTGAATTTAGCCAGAAAGGAAGCTCCAGTAAAGTTGTGCACTACAAAGATAGAGCTGAAGACATCTTGATTGCTAAGTAGGAACAGAAAAGTATAAGAGGTGGCCTGAGGGCATCACAGGAAGCAGAAAGTCTCCATGCTTTGCAGCCTCAAAACTGCAAAAGTGAGAGACTGCTTTGAAGAAAAAGCTGCAGAATACCATGTTCCAGAATGGTGGCAAGATAGAAAATTTATTCCTCAGAATTAGATTCAGAGTGTCCAGGACATCCAAGACAGGGAAGCTTGGCTACTGCTCCAACTGGCAGCAGACCTTAGCAGCATTCATGTGGCACTGGTTCGAGGTGTATGCAGAATGCAAGAGTTACGAGATTAAGGCAGCTTCCACTCTAATTTCAGAAGCCGAGGAGGCCAGGCAGTGTGCCCCTGAGAAGGCAATGTATGAAGCTGGGAGAATGAAGCTGAAAGTGGAGACTTCAGAAGTTTGGAGAAGCCAGGAACATGGATCATCTAGGGAAAGGTGCAAGGAGAGATCAAAGTGGCCCTAAGAGAGAAGCTGTGGGAGCTATAACAACCAGAAGTGCCTTAGGGGTGGAATCACTCAAGCCCTTTGGAGTTCACAGTTTGCCATAGATTGCCTCAAATGGTGCACATGGAACTATAGGATTTGTTTGCCCTGGGGGATTTTGGACTTGCTTTGTATCCCAATTCTTTGTATTCCTGTTTATAACTTTTGGAATGAAAATGTTTATTTTGTGCCATTGTATGTTGGAAGTGTTTAAACTTTGTTTTCATTTATCCAGGGGCTTGCAGCTGAGTGTTTGCCTTATATCTCAGAGGAGACTTGGGACTTGGACCTCACAGCAATACTGAAACTGTTAGGACTTTGGCAGCTCTTACAGATGGACTAAATGCCTTTTGCATAAAAGGATGTGCGTAAGTCTTTGAGGGCCCAGAGGAGGAATGTTATGGTGTTAATGTAGATAGACTTAATACTGGTTCTTATAAATTGTTAAACCTATGTTATAATGTTCAAATTATAAAATAATAATAATAAGCATGTCTGTGGAGACTTGTTTTAGAAATGTGTCTGGTTGTCAAGTTGACAAGAGATGGATCGTTATGGTTGATACATTGTGTCAACTTGAGAAGTATAAGTGACTCAGCAGAAGGCTAAGGTCTTCTCTTGGCAAACATTCTGAGCCTATGCAAGAGGAAGTCTTCAGAGATTTTGTGATTGATACACCTGCCGGGGTCGGGGAATGGGAGCTGGGGGTAGTAGCCTGCTTACACTATAATGGAGGAGAAGAGCCTTGTTCTCTCCCCACCACTTTGGCTTTTGCTACTTTTGCTGTTTTCTGCCACCTTCAAATGTTGCCTCTATGCCATGCCACCCTGCTTTGGAGCCAGCTTATTATGGGCTGAAACCTCCACAAACTGTAAGCTAAATAAACCTCTCCTTCCTTAAGTTTGGGCGTCAGGTATTTTGTGTTAGCAATGAGAGAAAAGTAACCAAGACAATGGCATAATACTGCTTCTCTCTGATTAGTAGTTTGATTTTTTAAAAATTTTATTATTATGGGATAGAGATTTAGCTCAGTGGTAGAGCATTTGCCTAGCATGCACAAAGCCCAGTACCACACACACAAAAAAAGTAGCTACAATTTTTAAAGAATAAAAAAAAGAGATCTGTTTACTGCAACAATGCCAAAAGTGAGTATTTATACTACTTAGATAGCATAGTACAGAAAAGTAACTTTGAGCACTGTTTCATCCAGTCTGTATGAGTAGATGAGCTGACCACAGTATTTCCTTTAAAAGGCTAAATATTGTTTGTATCATGGGAATATGTGTAAGTATATAATAAATGCTAAAGTATAAATAAATTTTGGGAAATATACATAATATAAGCATTCAACTCAAAGAGTTTTGACTTAAGTGACTATATAGATATAACTGGATCCAAATCATGAAACTGAATTATTTTAGCACCTCAAAGAACTACTTTGTCCCCCCTTCTCATACCTCTAAAAGATATGCAATTTTGCCTTTTATCACTGTAAATTAATGCTGATTTTGAAGACCATTATGCATCCTTCTCAACAAGTAAGGGCACTCGTATATATGTACACACTGTAGAAAGTGTAAGATGACCATGTGTGTCTTTGTGGGCAGTGGAGTAACTTTATTTCACTTAATATTACATTTATAAAATTCATTCATGCTGATATATATATATATATATATAATTCTATTATCTTCCAGTTTATTTATTTTGTCACAGGTAGACATTTGGGCTGTTTCTAGTTTGGCAATACGTAAACATTCACCTATAAGTCCTTTGTGAATTTAAGTACTACTTTTTTAGGTTTGATACTTAAGATTTGAACTGCTGGATTTTATAATGCATGCATATATCCAGCTTTTGTAGATACTTCTAAAGATTAGTCAAGAGTAAACTGTAGAAGTTTGTTTCAGGACACAAGAATTACATTTTATCCTAATGCTTTCCAAAACTTTATGTATGCTCCATCCCCTAACTACCACCACTATGTATATATTTTTTTGTACGGGGGATCAAACTCATGGCCACGTGCTTATGTCACTGAACTAAATTCCAAGCCCCACCACCACTACTTTTTCCCTTGGGAGAGGGATAATAGTGGTAGTAAATTGTTGAATTCATTGGGGGTGAGTAACAATAGTAAATGATTGAATTTAATTTCTATTTCATTGATGATCCATGAATTGACTATTATTTATATGTTTATTGGCAATTTGGGTTTATCTTTCATGAAGTGCTGTTTCAAAAACATTCCCATTGTTCTGTTGAGTTATTATCCTTTTTTTTGTAAATTTCAGAGTGCTTCACTTACTCCTTTTGTAAATCTTTTAATTTTGTTTGTTCCTTTATTTTTAAGATAGGCTCTGGCTAAGAAGTTCAGGCCTGCCTTGAACTCACTATGTAGCACTGGCCTCAGATTCCTGGTGATCCTCTTGCCTAACCCTCCTAAGTACTGGGATTATTGGTGTGTGCCATCATGCCTGGCTTCCTGCTGAACATCTTTGGTTGGATATGCAGACATTTCCTCCCTCTTGCGTTAGCTTTTTGCTTTTTAAATAACATTTAAATTACTCTCGCTGAATAGATGTTTACTATTAACATATTCCAGTTTATCTATTTTTAAATTCTTTATTGTATTTTAGATACTCTTTAAAAAAAAAAAGTTTGCCATACACTAAGGTCATGAAGAGACTTCCTGTGTTTTACTTAGATCTTAATCCATCTAGAAGTAATTTTTGAACATGAGCAGTTTTTAAAAAATGTTTTGCCACACAGATTTGCAAATGACCCAGAAACATTTATTTTAAAAGATTATTCTTCCTATTTGTTACTAAAGTATCAACTTTGTCATAAATCAAGTGGCCAGAGTACATGCAGTATTTGTTTCTGGCTACTTTGATTCTACTTGTCTATTCTTGGATCAGTATCACTGTCAGTTATAGGTTTATAAAAGGTTGGATTATTAGTACTGTCAAGTCTTCTAGGTGTGTTGTTCTTCAGAACTGCTTAAGTTTTTCTTAGTCCTTTCCATTTCCATTTTACAATCAATTGTCAATTTATCAAAAACAAAACAAAAAACTATTGTGGGCCTAAACCAAAGAGGTTATGATAGTTACATAAACAAGATAAGCTCAATCCACATACCAATCCTCCCAAAAGAATGTAACTATGATGTACTGCAAAAATACACTAATTTTTTTAAAAGATGTTACAAATTGCCCACGTAAATATGCCCTATAAGTTCTAGAAAACTGTCTTAATTCTCATGTCTTCAATATTTTCAAGTTTTAATTAAGGTTTCTTTTTTGATCCATGTATGACATGCAAACATGTTTTTTAATTCTTTAAAGTACTTCTAAGTTTATTTTGGTCAGAGAACGTGATCTTTATGTGTGATTACATTCTTTTACTTTTTTTACTTTATTTAACTGCATGAGTTCTAATAAATGTTCTGTGTATTTTGATAAAAATGAGCATTCTCTGGCTGAGTTCAGTGTTCAAAATATGTCTCTTAGGCACTGGAGATATAACTCAGCAGCAAGGTGCCTGGCCTGCCAAGCACAAGGTCCTGAGTTTGATTCGTGGTTTCAAAAAAAAAAAAAAAGCCTTGGTTCAACTTTTTAAAATATATTTCATTCAAAACTATATTTATTTTATTTGCTTGCTCAATTAATGAAAACAGTAGATAAAACCTCTCCCTTTGATACTGCATTTACCTGTTTCTCTTTAGTTCTGTCCATTTTGTATGGTATTGATAAAGATTGTATTATGTACACCACAGCTTTAGAATTATATGTTCAGTGAATTAAATCTTAGTTAAGAGGCATAGAGTTTTAGTAGTATTCTTTTCCTTAATGTTTATTTTATTTGATATTAATATATCTGCTCCATTTATTAGGAGAATCTCAATTCTCCATTTATTTATTTAATAACTACCTCTTTCAGTAGTAGTTATTAAGTATGCCATTTGCTTTTGACTTTTCCAAGGTCTTATATTTTAGGAATATATTATATATATTATGTATATAAAATTTCCAAAATTCAAAAAACCCAGAGCATATGAAAAGATGCTTATGTCATGTAGTGAAATTCAAATTAAGACAACAAGGAAATATTACTATGTATCTGTTGACAGAAGTCTAGAATATTGATATCAAATGTTAGTGACAATGTGGAGCAACAGGAATTCTTATTCAATGCTGAAATTTCAATATGCAAACATTGATGGTGTTTTAAAAAACTAAACATATACTTAACCATATTTCTCAGAAATTGCATTCCTTTGTATTTACCTAAAGAGTTTAAAACTTATATTCATGTAAAATTCTATACACTGGTGTTTATAACAGCTTTATTCATAAATGCCCTAACTTGGAAGCAGCCATATTGTCTTTCAGTAGATGAATGCCTAAACTGTGGTACTGCCAACAATGAATCCAACACTTAAAAAATGAACTATTAATAAAAATATATACATAAATACATAAATAAATACATTATGCATTATAACTGAAGAAAGAAGCCGGTCTGAAAGGCTACATGTTATGCAATTCTAAGTATGTGAGATTTTGGAAAGGTAGAACTCTAGAGACAGTAAAAAGACCAGGATAGGAAGAAAAGAGCAGTGAATGGGTAGCGTACAGAGAATTTTTTTTTCTTTTGGCACCGGGGGTTGAATTCACAACCTTGTGCTTACCAAGCAAGTGCTTGAACAATTGAGGTAATCCCTGGTGCCAAGTACAGAGAATTTTTAGATCAATGAAAATTCTCCAATAAGGTATGTCATTGTATATTTGCTAAAACCAAGAGAAGGCACAACACTAATAGCAAAAACTAATACAAATTAATATCCTGAGTGAATACTGATGTGTAAATGTAGGTTCATCAGTTGTAACAAATGTACCACTTCTGCATGGGATGTAGATAAGGGTGGAGGCTGCACTCATGTGAGAACAGGTGTTTACATAGCTCTAAATGCTGTATTTTGTGGCTTCTCTATATGTACTTCTTTGTGGAAATAAGGTAAATTTTTATGTATTGATCTTGTATGCTGTGACAAAGTAAAAAGGAGACTGAAAAAGACACATAATACAACTGGTAGAAAAATAAGGGTGGCTCATGAGAAAATCTGAATCGCAATTCTGGAATCTTTATAGTAAACCTTTTATTTCCTGAGGTTACTTCATAGAATATATGTTCCTTGAAACTAAACATCAAAAACAAACAAACATTTATCAAAGTACAGTGGTCTTTGTTTACCAATGCCTCATACCTGGATTACCTATAAACTTATGATTCCCTTGTTTTAGATGGCATGGTGTTACCTACCTCTTGGCTTTCCTGGTGATTTAACTGAATTCTGTACTTTCAATCCAAAGTGTTACACAGAATCCAATGATGCTAGATTCCTACAGAGAGGATTTACACTTATTCTATTTAAATCAAAAGAACCAAGGGCAAATAACTTAATCTAATCCGGGTGTAAGTTAAAATGAAGAAGGGGTATAGTATTGAAACAGTCCATTCTTTCTCTGGACTTCCCTGATTCTTAGAGTGAGTGTCATTATATATCTAAGTATATTATTACTTAGGTATTACTTAGGTAGTACATATGTAATTTAAAGTAAAACATAGAATTTAAATTTTTTGATCCCAATTTATATTTGTTCTCAGAAGGAACATTTATATAACGGTAAATTCTCCCATTCTACAAGAAAAAGACTTTTAAGGTATTTCCTTTTCATGTTACATTCTCTTTTATTCTCCTTGTCTTAAATTTTATTTTAAAAAACAGTATTTGTACCTCTTTATGGGACACATTACAATTTGAAGTTTTTTGGTTGCTGTTCACTCAAAAATTATTGAAGGCCTACTGCTTGTCAGGAATTCTTTATATTATAAAAAACACAATTTCATAACAAAGTAAGAGAATAACAATAATTAATATATAGTGTATCACTATCTTCAAAGTATTTATCAGAGTATAAGACATAAACAGAAAACATTCTCAAAAAAAGATAATAGCATAACCTTTGTTTTCAATGATATAAGAGGAACTAGTAGCATACATGACACAAGTTAGAATGCTGCAGTTCCCACTAGCCTCAGACCCACATGAACATGGAAAACTTGTGCACCACCTGCTTCTGATACTGCAGCCCACTAGATCCCTGTGTCAGAGTAGGAGGATCCAGGAAGCATGTGCACTGCTCCAGTTGATGGTATTGTCCTACCCCCAGAGACTGGTGCCAAAGGAGTACACAGAAAGCATATGCCTCCTCATCCAACTGACATCTACCAGACCCTGAACTAGACCCAAGAGGAAACATGCACCCCACCCCACCCAGCATTGATGCCCTAAGGGCCCACATCAGTGCCAGGAAAACCCAGAAATCACATGCCCTACCTCCATTCCCAGAGTTCTCCATAGCACAGGGCAACAGAGTTGATAACCTACAGGTGAACCTGACAGAAAAAGAAGCTAACATTGAGGGAGAATTTCCCACAGGACTGAAGTGACACATTACCACTGGGTGAAAAACAGAGTTGGAGATACGTGTAGAGGATAAGAGCTAAATAAGGACCACCAGGGGTCCCTGGGAGGCCTGTGCTCACAACAGAAAGATCACGGTGTCTGTGTTCTCTTGTGGGGGCCCAAGTTTGCCGGGAGTAATTGTCAGGAAGGGCAATCCTGAAGAAGAAATATAACCTAGTGATATGTTTGAGCTCTGGAACTGCTGCCAGAATCCAGTAGAAATTAGTGCTCTTATTATAGCTCAATATAAGGGGAGCTTAATTTCTTTCACCAAAATTAGAGTCCACTTTGTTTTGGTGATGGGTTTATGAGTGGTTCCTAGGATTTGTCAATATCCAGTTGGCAGTTGATGCCATTGTTGTGCTAAATGTACCATCAGAGACAACATAGTAGGGACTGGCAGTTAGTTTTCTCTCTATGGCAGTACCTGAATTGCCTGATATCGAGGATGGGAGGATGACAGGGTCATAAACAATTCTGTGACTTGCTCCCAAAGAATGGGGCACTGGGCCAAAGAATGTGGAAATCCCACTACAAACAAAATGAGAAATATGAAGAAAAAAAAAACAGCAACAAAATGCCTCCAAAAACTTGCAACTCCCCGAAAATTGGGACAAGGGGCACAGAGGGAGAAGAAACCATAAATTACACAGCAGATAGGACTTAAAGGGCACCAATGTAAGTAGAAGAGTCTATATGGTGCTTGGTAAACTTAAAGATTAGTAATTACATAATGAAACAAATGATCCCTGAGTCCAAAGAAGACACAAATAAACAGCTAGAAGAACTAAGGAAAGCAATGCAAAACATGAATGCCCATCATAGAAAAGAATGAGAGTCAAAAAGAAGTTCCAATTAGAAATCCAGGAGACTTAAAAACAAGTCTGAAAGTACAGGTAGCAGAAACAATGTGAGAACAGTGTCAGATCCAGAGGACAGTGCTGTGGTCAATGATTAATTAATGAGAGATAGCTTAAAAAGAATAAGGTGACAAGAAAATGGACCCAAAAGCTCCCGGATGACTTATATAAAAGTAATTTGAATTAGCAAAAACTCAGAAGACAATACAAAGGACATAAACTTGTTTATACAAGCAATAGCAAAAAACTTTTCAGGTAGAAAGAGAAATATAAACATAAGTGAAACATACAGAACCCTGAATAGCCATTATAAGAAAAAGAAATACAACACATCAACAGAAATCTAAAGGCTGCTAGAGAAATCACCTATAAAGGAAAAACATTATATTTACAACAGATTTCTAATACCTTAAAGGCAAGGAGAGCATGGAATGAAAAGGGTCAGGCTCTTAGAGAAAACAGTTTGTAAATTCAGACTGTTGTATTCTGCAAAGTTATTTTCAAATTGATGGAGAACTGAGATACTTCTATAACAAAGACCTAAAGATATTCATTAATACCAACCAACACACACAAATGCTGAAGGATATCCTCCAACGTGACAATGAAGATAGAAATACCAAAAGGTCCAATAAAAGGAATACATCAGTTAGGGCTAGAAATTAAGTAGAAGGGGGAAAAAAGTCATATAGCAACAGGAAATTAATAGAGTCACAGAAATAAGTCAATACTAATCATTTATACACAATATAAATGAACCCAACTCACTAGTCAAGACACACATTAATAGAATGGATCAAGAAACAAAATCCAACAGTATACTGTATACAAAACACATTCAACACAAAAAGAATTTTATACATAAAATCCAAGGATTGAAAAGAATATTCCACATGACAGAACCAAAAAAAGAGCAAGCACAACTATCCTATTTTCAAAGTGAGTTTTAAGCCACGATGATGAAAAGAGGATTCAAAAGAACATTATATACTGATTATTGGAACTTCAGTGGTCCCTCAGTTCATGAATTTACTTCTTTCCATGATTCTAGTTGCAAATCATATTGGATGAGAACCAAAATCAAATTCAATCATTAGGTTCACTGTTGACCTTATGAGGAAATTTTATTTGGGTCTCATCCAATTTTGTTTATGACCAGAAACGTGGACAGAATTAAGTTCATTAACAGAGGTTCCACTGTATTCAATGGAAAGCAGTTACTAACATGTATGCAACAAACCACTGTGTACTAAACTTCCTAAAACAAACTCTAGTGGACATAAAAGATCAGATATACATCACTGTGATTATAGTGCAGAATCTTCATTCCCCCATCACAAATAGATAAACTAAACAAAGAAGTCAAGAAATAAATGTCAAAATTGAACCAAACTTTCGGACAAGTGAAAAACAGGTATATAGAGTGTTCCACCAAACAACAGAAAACACATTCTTTTCAGCTACACGTGGTACTTTCTCCAAAATAGATCACATAGTAATGAATAAAACATGCCTAAGGAAATGCAAAAGAATCAAAATTATATCATGCATAATACCAGATAACACTGTAATAAAACTAGAAATAAATAGCAAAAGAAACCACGGTAAATATCCAGAAATTTGAAAATTAAGCAACACATTCGTGATCAATCAATAGGTCACAGAGAAAACTAAGGAAAAAAATAAAACAGTTGCTAGGATTAAATGATAGTGCCAGTGCAACATATCAGAACTTCTGGGACACAATGAAAGTAATCTTACCTTATAGCAGTGAATGTCTACGTCAGAAAAATAGAATAAGCCCCCCAAAATAACCTAACAATCCATCTCAAGGTTTAGAGAACCCCAGAACTTGTGCAAGGAAGGAAATTACAAAGATCAGAACAGAAACTAATGAGATGGAGATAATAAAGACGATACAATGAATTGAATCAAAGAGCTGGTTTCTTAAAAGAATAAGTTAGACAAACTGTTAGCCAATCTTACCCCAAAAAGGAAAGAAAAGACAAATTAATGCAATTAGAAATGAAAAAAGTGAAATCATAACAGACACTGTTGAAATGTGGATTATTGGCCACCACTTTATAAACACATACGCCAAACAACTGGAGAACTCAGATGAAATGAATGCTTTCCTAGACACATATAAATTGCAAAAACTGAACCAAGAAGACTTAAAAATCTTGACCAATCCAATAGCAGGCAATTAAATAGAAGATGAAAAAAAAAAAAAAAAAACAACTAAGAAAAGCCCAAGACAAGATGGATTCACAGCTAAATTCTACAGGAACTTCAGAGAAGATCTTCTCTTTATGACCTTGAGGAGAGAGTATTTCTAAATCATTCTCAGATGCTAATATTATCCTTCCCCCCAAACCAGACATACATTCAATCATAAAAAAATTATAGGCCAAATTGTCTAATAAACAGACGCAAGAATCCTTAACAAGGGCCAAGGATATAGTTGTTATACAGATTTAGTGCAATCCTTGTCAGAATATTAGTGTCATTCTGACTGCTAGAGAAAAGAATTCTAAAATTTATTTGCAATTAGAAGAGATCCAGAATAGCAAAAACAATCCTGGATAACAAAAGCAAAGCAGGCAATATCATAATCCTAGATTTGGAGTTATGCTACAAAGCTAGCAATTAAAACAGCATGGTACTAACACTAGACAGGCATTTGGATCAATGGAGCAAAATAGAAAAAGCAGAAACAACCCCAGATAGAGGTATTTGATCTTTGAGAAAAGAGCCAAAACCTTGCACTGGAAGAAAGATAGCCTCTTTAAGAAATAGTGCAGGGAAAACTGGGTATCAACATTCAGAAAAATCAAAACCCAAACATCTCACAATGTACTAAACTAAAATAAAAATGTGTCAAAGATCTAAATGGTAATATAAAGCAATGTTCTAGAAAATTAAGTACAATTCTTGAAGACACAGACATAGGCAAAGACTTTCTAAACGGAACCCCAACAGCACAAGAAATAATACTTGGCATCAAAAAAATGAGATCATATCAAATTAAAAGCCTCTGTACCACAAATGAAACAACCAACACAATGAAGAGACAGTATAGAATGCGTTAAAAAAAAAAAAACTTGCCACCTATTCCACAGACAAAAAACTAACACATATAATATATGAAGAACACAAAATATTAGATCCCCTTGAAAAAACTCAAAAAATAGGTAATCCAAATGAAGAGACACTTCTCAAACTATGAATTTCAAGTGGTGAGCCAGTGATATCTATATAGGCTGGGAAGAGGATCAAGAAGCCAAACCACTCCTTCTCATGAGCCAGTGGCAGCCATGTGCATATTCAATTTTATCGCATAATTTACTGAAGAGTCTATACTTTGTCCACTCTATGTTCTTGCTGACTTTGTCAAAATAAATTTCTTTTGTGTACATGGGGTAAATTCTATGTACTGTATTCTGTTCTATTGGTCTATGTGTCTGTTGTTACGCCACTATTTTTTTTTGAACAAAATGACTCTGAAGTATATTGTGATTTCAGGCATTGTGAAGCTTCCAGCTTTTCCCTCCTAAAATAATTTTGGGGTTTTTTTTTTTGCGTCTTTTATTTTTCCATATGAATTTATGAATTTTTTGTGACAAAAGATAATAATATTTTAATAAGAATTACATTGAATCAACAGATCAATTTGGACTGGGTGGGGTGTTTTTGGTTTTGGTTTTTTGTTTTTGTACCACGGATTGAACTCACAACCTTATACTTGCTAGGCAGGCACTTATCCTGCTCAGTTAAATCTCTGGCTGGATAGTCATTTTAACAATAATCCTAATCCATGAACACAGGATAAATTTCCATTTCTGTGTCTTCCATTATTTCTTTCATTAGCTCTTTTTTTAATAATTACTATTTACAGATACTTGACTTTATTTGTTAAACATATTCCTAAATATTTTGTTTTCTTATCTGTTGTGGATGGGATTTTTGAATCCTTTTTCAGCACATTCATCACTGGTGTACAGAAATGTTCCTGTGTTTTCGATGTTGTTTTTTGTAACCTGTAACTTTCTGGATTCATCAGTTTTAAGATGGGAATATTTTTTTCTATGAATAAAATCATGTGATCTGAAAACATGGATAATTTCTTCCTTCCCAATCTAAATGCCCTCTCTTTCCCTTAAGACTTCTAATATTTTATTAAATAAGAATAGTAAAAGTGGACATCCTTGTCTTATTGATACAAGAGAAGATCATTTTAGGGTTTCCCCATTTGGTATGATATTGGCTGTGGGTTTGTCATCTATAGCTTTCAGTATTTTGAGATGTATTTTATACTCAATATGTTGAAATTTGTATCATGAAGAAATTTTGAATCTTAAATGCTTTTTTCTGCATATGCTTTTATTCTTCATCCTACTGATGTGTTGTATAACACTTATTATTTATTATTTGAACTATCCTTACAATTCTGGTATGAATACAACTTGTTGATCATACATGATCTTCTGATGTGCTGTTGAGTTTGGTTTGCTAGTTTTATTTCTTCTGTTTTTGAGGCAAGGTATCATTATATGGTCCAGGTTGGCCTTGAACTCATTATGTAACCTAGGCTATCCTCAAATTCATGGCAGTATGCCTACCTTAGCCACCTCAGTATTGGCATTACAGGGATGCACTATCAAGCTCAGCTTCAGTTTGCTAGTACTTTATTGAGATTTTTTACACATATGTTTATCAAGGATATTGGTCTATGAATTTCTTTTTGCTGTTGTATTTTTGTGTAGTTTTGGTATCACGATAATGCTTCTGTATAATAAGAGTTTGGTTGAGTTCCTTCCATTTCAGTTTTTTAGAAGAGTTTAAAAAGAACTGGAGAAGCAGCCAGCCCTGGCATGCACACAGGCCTCCATTAGGACTCTCCTGAAGGTAGTCAGTGCTGGCCAAGAGAACTGGTCAGCCATGCCTTGGAGAAGCCCACTCAGCACTCTCACTGCTTTCTAGGGAACCTGGGTTAGGAGTAACCCAGGTGCCTGACCCATCCCCCTACACCACGGATGGATAGTGAACATGGGAAGCCTGGGACATCACAATCTGTCAGGAAAATGTCAAGACAAAGGAGCAAAATCCAATCTTAGACCTACAGCCCAAACAGAACAAGTCCAGGAGACATGGATATGGAAGAAAGAGGAAGTTTCACACCTGAAATTTCTGGGGTGATGGCAACTGAAGTAAAGAAACTACCTCATGATATTGTAAAAAAAAAATCAGATCAGAAATATCTCAGCTAAAAGAAATGACAAACATGATAAAAAGGTTGCTGAGCATATCTAAAGAAGACATACATTTTTTAAAAAGAGCATAGGATAATGAGGGAAACCTTGAGTGAACAATATAGAGAAGAATTGGAATGCGTGAAACAGACTCAAAGAGATATCCAGGAAATTAAATACAACATTTAAAGCTGGCAGAACTGCTTGAAAGAAACTGAAGATTAACTTTCAGACCTTCAAAACAGGATAGCAGCTAGCAATTGTGAAAGGAAAGAGCTCTTAAAAATAACAAAGGGACCAGGAAATAATAATTCAATGGTTGCAACACGATGCAAAGAAAAATAGTTTAAGAATGATAGGTGTCAGTGAAAAAACAAGAGTCAACACAAATGACATACAGAGATTATTTATAGAAATAATAGCAGAAAGCTTCCCAAGCATGAGAAAAGGATCTGGCAGACAGAAAAGTGAGGCATATAGAACTCCAAATAGCCATAACCAAAGTAAATTATACCCAGACATATAATGATCAAGATCCCAGAAAGACAGCACAAGAACAGCTTATTAACACTATTGAAGAAAAACAGATCACCTACATCAGAATCACAGCAGACTTCTCAACTGAGACCATAAAGTCAGGAAGAGCTTGGAGTGAAGTATTTTAAGTCCTGAAACAAAACAATTTCAACCCAGATTAATGTACCCTGCAAAACTATATTTCAGAAGTAACGGAGAAATAAGATACTTCCATGACAAGAGGACAACTGAAGGAATTCATGACCACTAAACCAAAGCACTACAAAGCATATTAAAGGATATTCTAGAGAGAGATAAAGATGACCCTGGTCCCAGGAACAGCAGCAGAGTGGGATCACCAAGTGGAGCAAGCAGTTAAATGTGGGAGTAAAGTAGGCAGCTAACAGCAAGAAAAAAGCATGGCAGAGATGAACCAGTGCAGGTTGGCCATAACCATTACTGTAGATGTCCTCAGTTCACCAAGAAACATAGGCAGAGTGGATCAAAAAACAAGATCCATCAATAAAAAGAAATTCATAGGCTGAAATAGGAGAAAAAAACAATACTCCATGCAACAGGAATCAGAAAAAATCCGGGGTAACTTGCCATGCAGAACAAATAAGAAAGATACGACATTTTTATACAATGGAAAGCTACTCAGCTATAAAGAAGGATAATCTCAAGGCTCTTGTAAGTAAATGGATGCAACTCGTGATCATGTTCTTAGGTGAACATCACATTGTCTCTCTAGTATAAAAAACCGAAGGAATTAGTGGGATCCAAAATGTACAATATATACTGTGGAAGGGAAAAGGAGAGAAGTGTCTAAAAACGGAATGTGGTAGCCATTGTTAATTCCCTATTATTTTATTGTAAACTCTGGTATCATTTTGTTTTGTTTTCCTTGGTTTTATTGTTTTGTTTGGTTTTACTTTATTGTATCTGATGGCATGGACAGCTATCTTGAAGATAACAAGATATATTATGGTAGACATTGTTGATTTCCTATTATCTTGTTTTGATGTCCTATATCACTCTCATTGTTTTGATTAGTTTTCTTCTGTCTGTTTTATTTGATTTTGTTAGGTGTGATAGTATGGGCAGCTATTTTGAAGATAACAAGAAGCATTACAGAAGCCATTGTTGATTTCCTGTTACCTTGTTTTGAAGTTCTGTATCACTTTCACTATTTTGTTTTGATTAGTTTTATTCTGGTTGGTTTTATTCTTTCAAAAATTAAACTTTTTTAAAAAGGTGAATTGGAATTAGTTGCATAAACGTTTTATACATTTCTGTAGTCAAGTCAACTGAAATTTTTAATAGAATAGAGAGTTTTGATTACTGCTTTTAGCTTTTTCATATAAGAGAAATAATACCATATTTAAGCTTGTATGTCTAATTTACTTAACATCATCTCAGGGTACATCCAGTTTTCTACATATAACTTGTTTATCCTTCTTTATGGCAGATTAGTACTCCATTGTGCATAAATATGTTTTCTTATTCATTTATGAGCAGGCACTTACACAATTGAGCTAAATTCCTGAACTTAGAATTCTGTCTTTACTTTTGACATTTTGACTGTAATATCCATTAGTGAAAGTCTGTCTTAGGGTCCTTTGAATTTCTTGTAGTTGGTTATCCACATATCTTTGAAGTTCTTGGAATTTTTCAGCTATTATTTCATAGTCAGTGCCTTAACCTTTTCTTTCTATAATTCCCATAATGCAAATATTTGTTTACTTAATGGTGTCACATAAGTCCACAGACACCCTTTTTCCTTTCCTCCCTTTTCCGCCCTCCCTACCCCCTCCTCTTTGCTTCCTTTCCCTTTCCCCAAAAGAGTAGTCCTCAAGTTCAGAAATTTTTTTTCTATTTTTCTTAGTTTGCTGTGGAAGCTCTCAATTGTATTTTTTGTTTCATTGATTTCTAATTGTTTCTTTTTTATGGTTTCTTTTTTGGTCAATTTCACATTCATTTCCTAAATTGTTTCTCTTATCCCTTTGTACTCACTCTATTTCAATCATTGCATTTCCTTAGAATCACTGTTTGAAATCTTTTTAATAAATTTCATAGATTTCCTTCAAATTGGTATTACTCTATAATTATGTTTCTTTGAATGTTTCACATATCCCTTCAGCTTTCTTGTATTCCTACACTGATGTCTGTGCATATGGTATATACCTTCTCCAATTTTATGGAGTAGCTTTTCTAGAAAAATATTTTTATTTAGATGAGATGTAGGATGTCATCTGACTATGTTTTGGTTATATATCCTCTGGTATTTCTTTGGCTATGATTAATATTTGCGGTGTCTGTAAGTGCCTCAGTAATCTAGATTGCAGGTATAAAAGTAACTGTATGGTTTTTTAGCAGATGTAGGCTTCCAAGGGTGCATTCCTCAGGTCCCACATAGTTAGGGACTGATGGCATTAGGGCTTATTACAGCAGCTGCTGTGGAGAGGAATTTCTTTGAGTACCATGGGCTAGCACAAGTGACACCAGGGTTTGTGGCCCCAGTAGCCATAGTCCTTGAGCACAGAATATAAAGGTGACTTTCTCCTGGTCCATTCGGATGGATATGGGAGATCTAGGGCTATGATACCAGCAGCCACACTTCTAAAACCATGGTATATGAACTTCTTCAGGTCCTACATGATGAGCATGGATGATACTGGGATCTGTGGCACTGGTAACTCTGGATTTAAGATTATGAGACACAAAGGGGACCTTCTGCAGGTCCTGTCAGGTGACTGCCATTGCTGCTAAGGCCTACAGCATTGGTATCCACAGTCCTGGAGCTGCAGAGCATGAAAAGGATCTTCACCTAGTACTGAGAGACAGGTGTGTGTAATGCCAGTAGCTATAGTCCTAAGGCCATGAGATGGGAGGAGAACTTTCCTAGTTACCACAGGATAAGTCCAGATAGTGCCAGTGTTTCGTAGCTGTGTTTCTGATTTGTGGGATTCAGCAGGGACCTTTCCCAGCACTGTAAGTGATGCCAGAACGTTTATACCAGTGGCTGCAGTCCTAAAGTGTTGGACTGAAGAAAAGCTCTTTTCTAGTTCCCATAGGGCAAGTGTTGAAAGGGCAAGAGTCCCAGGCTTGGGATTCTGGACAGATTTAAGGTTTCTGGTGGTGTCAGGGGCCAACTGCTGACCCTACGCAGAGGCATATGGCAGAGGCTGTCATAGCAGTCTGGGTTCTGAGGCTTGGGAGAGGTCCAACGTGAGTTCCTTCTGTGAAGTAGAGCAGTTGCTCTTAGGCCAGCTAGCTCCCCAACGGGAGCCTATGAAGATTGAGGAATTATCCTATAATTAAGACTGATTATTTGCTGCTGCAGCAGAAGATACTTTCCACTTTCCACTTTATCTTTTCCAATGATATGCCATTATACCCTACCCTACCCCTGGGTTGAAGTTACAATTTGCTTTGTTCTTTTCTCTAGATGACTTTTCAACTCTTGTGCTGTTTGGGGTTCCTGTCACTTTCTTGCAGATTTTCAGAGTTCTCCTTCAATTATTCTCTTCAAAATATATATATATATATATTTTTATTGCCTGGTTCTTTGCAAAGGCAGAGCTCTGCAACACAACACCTCTTATTCAGCCATCTTGGCTTCTTTTATCTTTCAAGTAAGTTAAAATACTACGTATACAGATTGAGCATGCCTTATTTAAAATTATTGGAGTCCATAAGGGTTTAAGATTTTGAATGTTTTGTAATTGTGGTTACTTGCATATACATAATGAGATATTTGAGGATTAAACAACAGATTGCTTTATATGTTTACATACACCTTGCCTAAAGGTAATTTAATACAATGTTTTTAAGTGTACCTGAGTTTTGACAGTGATTATTCACATGAAGTTAGTTATGAAATTTTCCTGTAGTGACTGGCATCATGTCAACACTCTTTCAAGATTTCAGATTTTTTGATATGGAATGGTCAACTTATATTAAAATGTAGTGTCAGGAAATACAAATATCAAGAAGGCATAATATATGAATCAAGTTTTCAGGGTAAAAATTTTTGCAAAAATTATAAATTTAAGAGTCATAAGCAAATATGGCAGTTAAAGCCATTAGAACACATAAAAATTTGCATAAAGTGAACATAGATAGAGAATAAGTCAAAGACTAAGCCCTGGCGCCTTCCATTTAGAGGTGAGGAAAAAATGTAAAACCATGATAGGAGACTGAGCCAGGACTAAGTGATATTTCTATATCCAAACAAGAATATGTCTGGGGAAAATAGGTAATCAAATGCTGCTAGTAGGTTGAATAAAACCACTGGGAACGAGCACTCGTAAATATTTTTTAAAACTCCTGGAAAGTAGCAGCAGCATCATAACTCTCCAAACACCAAATTCTGGCCTGAATTTCTTGTAACTCCATTTCCTGTAGAACTATTGGCCCTAATCTTTTGTCTCCAGCAACCGAGCCATCCTTAAATGAGCACTTCTCATCTGTGTAGTCAGCTTTAAGTGCACTGTTATGATATATGATATACTGAATTATGAAAATTCATATTAGATACAATCATGTCCATTTAAGTGTGCACCTGATTGATCGACTGTGTTTGCACTGATTGGTCATTAGGCTTATAACTTTGTAATTCAGTATTGCATTACATGTTACAACAGTCATACTAAATACATACCTCTGGCTGACAATCTTAATTTAGGTTTATCTGGGGAAATAGGGCTTATACTAAAAGCATCCTAAAAAATCATGCTAGGTCTCATTTTCAAGGAAATGAAATATAAAGTAAATAACAGAAAACTCTTTAAGCAATGTGATTCCCAAACTACTCTGTTGATTGGCCTTGTCCATCCAAGTAGAAGATGGAAATTTATTCTCTAGATGTGTGTTTTCTGGAGAAGACAGGAGATAAGACCCCAAGTGAGTACCATGTCATGAGCAATTGAATCAAGTTACTATGTACTACTAAATAGGGAATGCTTAGATTTATGGCTGCCTGAATGCCTTCCATGTCACTGACAGTCAAGGCATAGCTTCCAGGTGAAAGATTTTAAAACTATTAGACTGGTGGTGCTACCTGAAGGCCTGCACAGTGAATTCCACCTAGCCATGCAAGCTTGGCACCTCATTCAGAACTTGGTAGGGCCTCATTCAGTGCCCCTAAATACCCAAAGGCCTGAGGTAGGTCATTCAGGTTATGGCTGGGCCATGCCCGGTGACCTCAAGTGTCAGAGGAATTGCATGGACTGAGCGGCCTGACCCATAGACCTGCACAGTGAACTCCACCTAGCCATGCAACACTGGCACCTCACTTAGAACCTGGTAGGGCCTCTCCTAGCATCCCCAAAGGGCCAGGACCTTTAAGTCACTTGGGTCCTGGCTGGGCCCCACCTGTGCTGAGTAGGGTGAGTCAAAGGCCTGCACAGCAAACTCTATGTAGTTATGCAAACTAGGTATCTTGCTCAAAACCTGGTAGAGCCCCAGCTAACATCCCCAAACATCTGGGGAGCTTTGGTGCACCCTGTAGCATAAACTCAAGGCCTGTACAGCGTACTCCATCTAGCTGTTCAGCCTTGGTACACCACTCAGAACCTGCTAGAGTCTCACTCAGCAACCTCAAACAGCCGGGGAGCTGTAGAGTGCCATGTAGGGTATGTTAAAGATCTGCCTAGCATACTACTCACATTTGAGGAGATTCCAAGTGCCACTAGGGACCTTGTAAGACCTGCCTAATGACCCCCACTAAACTGGAGAAACTCCCCTGCAGTACCAATAGACATCCTCAACCCTCAGGGAAGCAACTGAGACCTTGCGTTCAGCTTACCCAAGGGAATACAGGAAAATGAAGAGAAAAATGCAATCTCAAGCCTCCAGCCCATTCCAAACAAGCCTAGGAGACATGGATATAGAAGAGAGTGTAAGCCATGCACCTGAAACTTCTGAAGTGATAGCAAGTAAAGAGACAACTCCAGGGAGCTGTAAAGGAAATCACATCAGAAATAATCTGCCAGATAAAAGAAGAAATGATAAACATAATAAAATAAATGCTGAACACATCTAAAGAAGACATATTGTAAAAACTGAGGAACACTGCAAAAAAATGGAAACCTTGAATGAACAATATAAGACAGAAATAGAATGCTAAAACAGCTTCAAACAGATAGTCAAAAAGTCAAAAATTCCATAACAAGGAATCAGAAAATAACAATTAAACAATTGCAAGAGGATACAAAGCAAAACAATATAAGATTAATAGGTGTAAACAAAAAGGTGACAACAAAAATGATATCAAAATACTATTTAGAGAAGTAATGGCAGAAATTTCCCAAACATAGGAAAGGAAACTGACATACAGATAAGTGAAGCATATAGAACTCCAATTAGCCAAAACCCAAATGAAACTATACCCAGACATATAATAATCAATATCCCAGAAATTCAGCATAAGAATGGAATATTAAAAGCTGTTAGAGAAAAGAGACAGATTACATATAAAGGAAAGCCATAAGAATCACAGCAGACTTCTCAAGAAATAGTGAAGTCAAGAAGAATATGGAGTTAAGTATTTCAAATCCTAAACAAAAATGACTTCCAACCCAGATTGATGTACCTTGCAAAACTGTCCTTCAAAAAATTAATGGAGAAATAAGATACTTGCACAACAAAGAACAGCTGAAAAACTTAATGACCACCAAACAAATCCTGCAAAGAAAACTAACAGGTATTCTAGATAGACATAAAAATAACTGTGACTTCAAGAATACCAGCAAACCACTGAGCAAGGCAAACAATTAAACACAGGGGAAAGGTAAAGAAGCAAAAACAGAAAGATAACATGAAAAAATGAGCCAATAGAGCTAAGGATTTAGCTCAGTGGCATAAGTGCCTGTCTGGCAAGTGCGACATGAGTTTGATCCTCAGTAACAAAAAAAAAAAAAAAAAAAAAAAAAAAAAAAAAAAAAAAGGCATGAGGCAATATATATCACTTATAACCATTAATGTAAATGCCTTAATTCATCAATTAAAGGATACAGACTGGAAGAATGGATCAATATACAACATCCAAGCATATGCTATATACAAGAAACCAATTTAACCCAAAGGAAATTCATAGACTGAAAGTCAAAGGATGGAAAACAATACTTCATGCAACAGGAACCCAAAAAAAGCAGGGGTAGCTATTCTATTTGCAGACAACCTGAACTTCAAACCAAGAATGATCAAAAGAAATAAAGAAGGTCACTACATAATTGTTAGGGGAAAACTTTAAAAGGAAGAAATAATAATCCTAAATATATGTATGCACACAGAAATTAATAGCATTCCTGTACACAAACAATAAACTCACTGAGAAAAATAAGAAACCACACCCTTCACAATAGCACCCAAAAAATTGAAATACTTAGGAATCAATTAACAAAGAAAGTAAAAGACCTTTTTATTGAAAATTATACTACTCTGTAAAAAGAAATTGAATAACATCTTAAAAACTGGAAAGACATTCCTTGTTCATGGATAGGAAGAACAAACATTATGAAAACGGCCACTCTCCCAAAACTGTTATGCAGATTTAATGCAATCCTAATCAAAATACCATTAACATACCTCACTAATTTGGAGAAGTCATGGCTAAAATTCCTCTGGAATCAGAAAAGACCTAAAATAGCAAAGGCAATTCTGGGCAACAAAGGCAAGGCAGGAGGCATCACAATCCCTGACTTGAAATTATACTACAAAGCTACTATAATAAAATCATCATTTCTAGAATAAAAACAGACCTGAAAATCAATGGAATAGAAGATCTGACTACAACTACAAACAGACTCAGCCACCTTATCTTTGACAAAGGAGCAAAACACATTGCCTGGAAGAAAGATATCTTCTTTAATAAGTGGTGCTAGAAAAACTGGCTTCCCATATGCCAAAAGCTAAAACTAGACCCACATCTATCACCGTGTATTAAACTAAAATCATACATGGATCAAAGTCCTAAATACTAAAACAAGCACTAAATCTGCTGGAAGATGAAGTAGGTAGAAATCTTGAAGACATAGGAATAGGCAAAAAAATTCATGAAATACTTCCCAGAATCAACAACTGGGATCTCATCTTATTAAAACGTTTTTGCATGTCAAAAGAAATCTCCAGCATAGTGAAAAGAAAACCCACAAACTGGGAAAAGATTTTAGTGAACTCTCTCTCAGACAAGGGACTGTTGTTCAAATTGGCTATTAACACTCATATACCATATACTTTCATGTAAGTACAGAAGCAGATTACATTGCTGCTATATATTTAGCTGGCCTTACATATGGCCTTAAGACCATATGCTCAAATTGTAGTGAGTCTTGTGTTTGATAGAATTTTCTCAAACTTCGCTCATTGACTTGCTTGGAATGGAGCATCTTTTAACTCCATACTGAAGCAGCAGCTAGACTGTTAGCCTCTCTTTTCCAGGAAACTTATATAACTGTAGCACTATTATCCTTTCTTTACATAGCTAGATTTGTGAGTGCTAATCTGATTTTCAAACCTGAACAGTGTTCGATCTAGGGATTCCCAAATAAGAGAATGGTAAAATATTTTCTAATATGAAAATTTGTCTAATTTCCAAAACTAAGTCAAAACTGATCCAACATTTAGGTTCACTATTATCAATAGCAGGTGAGTTGTTCCACTCAAACAGGAATTCCTAGCTTTCTTGTGTAAGATTTGGCATGTTTACTTAAGATCGATAAGGCCAATTCTTGTTTTCATTTAATTGTACACTAAGAGAATTTTGAAATCTATACATATTTTCTAAGTCTAGATAATTGAGAATTAGTTTTAGGGCCATTGTTCCTGATGTTTCATAGGTTTAATGAGCTACTCTTAACCTTAGAACTTTGTTGTTTTTTTAAAAGAAATACCCCATATCACATCAGTTTTACATTCTTCAATTCCATAGTTAATGAACATATATACGCACAAAAATAAGAATGCAGTGTTACAACTTCAATATAAAGAAATAAATAGAAAAGTTTATTTTTCAAATTAGACCTCTGTGACATGACCAAAAGACACAATGAATTATTCATTGCTTATATAGTAATCATAGAATCACTGTAATGTAATGGATGGCAAAATGATACAGCTATATTGTATTTCTGACTTAAATACTACAAGCTTCACCTACAAGCACTGTCTTCAGCATATCCTAAAAAACAACCTAGCCAATGTGCTATCTTTTTTTATCCATTATTAGAATTCTGTCGAAAAACACAGATCTCTATGAGGGTTTTTCATATCAGGAAATATAGCACTTACATTGTCACTAGAATGAAAGAAGTGGTATTTGGTAGGATAAATAGTGCATTTACTAATCAGAGCTCCTGCTTCCACAATCCTGATCTGTGGTACACGAGACCTTCCATTTTCCCTAATATCTTGTTTTTTGTTTTTGTTTTTTTTAAAGAAACCACCAAATCACTCCTTCTATTGTGTCAGCACCTCACAACTGTGATGGTTTAATCCTAAGAGAAGCTGGACTTAAATGGTAGAGTTATAACCAGAAAACACTTCCAGACATTCTTAAGCTAAAACTAACTTGTGATATTGTTAAGCTTGGACTCCAAAGGTTGCCCTTTCATGTCAAGAATAATCATATGTATAAACAAAGCTTTGATTTTCTCCTTAGCTTTCAACCTCTTATGAGTCTGTTTAGGGAAAGCTTACTTGCTTGTGAAGAGTATCATCACTGGACCAGTGTCCCTAAAAGAGCATCTTTAAGAGGGTGGAGGTTATCTGTCCTATGCAGTTTTCTCTCTAACTATGAGAAAAGATCCAACCTCAAGTGGGACAGCCCACACATCATATCAAAGATATTTAAATGTTCCAGAGACTTAATAGACTATTTTATCTCTCATTTTTCTAGCCTCATTTTTCTACTTAATGTTCTCCAAAAAAGTGTAAGATTTTGCTTGAGTTTTGGATACATATGTAGTTTTCATTAACTGAGACAATTAAGAGGCAGTAGTAAGTGTAGTATGCTTGATTAATCAAGAAATTTTTAGAGGCAAGGCCCTTAAGGATAAAGGATGCAGGGTAAGGATGGGGAAGTTAACTATCAATACACTTGGATTTATGTATCTAAAAATATCAAATGTTAAGTGTTGTACTGGAAGGTTACTGTCTTGGAATTCTGACTTATTACTCAACATGTAGCACCTGTGATTCATGTGATTTATGTACCTCAAGGAACTCAGAAAGTCCAAGAGGTGCTATGTCTGAACTGACTCCTAATATGAGGTGTGATCTAGAAATACAGTGAACATTGAAATTAAAATTTTTGGGGATACAACAAAATAATTTTTCTTTTTTTAAACTGCCATTTTTCATAAATATTAACATTTTGATTCTTACATTTCTGTAAAAATAGAAAAGACTCAAAATAGTTTAAACAACTTTGATAAAGGGACAAAATTAGAGCTTCCAAGTCACACAACTTATCACAAAGTTACACCAATTATGACAAAACAGCATTGATATCAAGATAGACAAACCACCAAAGTACTAATATAAAGCCCCAAAATAGATAGCCACATAACAAACAACTGATTTTGGCAAAGATACAAAAGAAATTAAGTGGAAAAGATTGTACACTCAATAAATACACCAGAACAACTGGATATCCACATGCAAAAAATCCAAACCTTTTAGCACATCAAAAAATTTCTTAAGTCATCCAAAAGTCAACTCAAAATGGTTCACAGTGGATTAAAGTAAAGACAGATGTGGCCTGAGTCGTTGCTTGGCTGTAGTAATTCTCTCTGGGATAAAATACATGTTTTTCCCTTATCATACTAATGAAACAATACAATGTTTATTATACATGCATGACATTTATTTCACTAATCAATATGTTCTCAAAGTGTATCCATTTACCTATAAAAATATCCATTTTATCATTCTTTATGGCTGAATAGTATCCCGTTATATAGAAAACCACATCTTTTTTATCCATTCCTCAGTTGATGGGCATTTAGGTTGTTTCCAAGATCTGACTATTATAAACTGTGCTATTATAAACATGGGTGTACATATATCATTGTGGTATGATGTTTTTAATTCTTTTGGGGAGATACCCAGAAGAGGACTAGCTGGTTTGAATGGGACCTCCAATCCTAGTTTTTTGAAGAATCTCCAAACTGATTTCCATAGTGGTTGCACCAATCTGCATTCCCACCATAAAATTTATTTTAAAGACACACTACTATTAATCTCTCTCCAAATATTTCCTCTTGTTTTGAACACACTTAGTTCATCATTCTTGCTACTTTATAAAACAGTTCTGGAAATCCTCTTTTGTGAATGTCTTTATAGCTGTCCTATTGTGGTCTTCTCATTGTCGTAGACTGATACAAAACCCTTATCTTTCATGGTCATTTTGACTAGGGAAGAACAAGAAGTTAGTTGCACAGTACCAGAACCAGTGAGTAAGGTGAATGAGGATATACTGAAAAGCTTTTATGTAATGGCTTTCTGGCACTCAGCAGCAGTGTTCATATTTTTTTATATCTCTTAAAGACACAAAAGACTTCCAGAACTGGTTTAGAAAATGGGAAGACAATTGGATAAGTGTGTTTGAAATAAGGAAGATTATTTTGAAGTGAGGGAGATTAATCATCTAATGGAATATAATTTTTAAATTTAAATATCATATTTTGATCACATCTAGTACCTTTAGGAAATCATGACTATGAACTGTGTAACAAATGCATTTTTCTCAAGGGTGACATTTAATCCTGACATTGTTATATATGCTTAGAATGGCTCTATTCCTTTCATTCAACCTACCAGTTCAGTCATCAACATTTTCTGCTATCATTTACTTCTTTACCTTGTTGTTTACCCTGTAGTTCATATTCACAGTGGTGGAAAGCACTGCTAAAAGACTTTTTTATTTTTTAAATTTAAAAGCATTCTAATTCCCCCATTCATATTCAAATGAAAGAGAAAAAAGAATTATAGTATTATTTGATCCCAGAAAAATATCACTAACAGCTACATATGACATAAACAACAGTCCTGGCTCCTTATTCACACCACTGAAAAACGTACATGTGGTACTGTACATGTGGTAGTGCACAACGTTCATATACACAGACTTTTACTACATAGTAATTTTGACTTCTACATCTGCTTTTTCTCTGTACCATAGCCTCTCACCAATAAGAAGCTAGGAAGGACTATGGAGAAAGAAAAACTTTAAAAAATAAGTAAATCTTTTAATTTTCCAAGCAATAGACAACAGTCATCAGAAGCCATAATCTAAGCTGCAGATACCACTTCTCTTCAGGATACATCAATATTGTCTATATTAGTTAAAAATTTCCTATAGTTATGTAGACTCATAGATATAACTGGTTTCTTCATTTTCAGCCTAAAGTTGTATGTTTAGTCAGATTAACCTCTTCTGTTGAATGTTTCTCTGATTACTTTCTCTGCCCCCCTTCAATACCACAAAGTGTACAAAAAGTTAATTCTCAATATCTGCATGTCCAGTTTTGACATCTGCTGGTTTGAAACAGTTTTCTAAAATTACAAAATGTCAGAACACAAATGCAACTTTTATTGGCTTAAATCTTGAGTCTACCACCTAAATCTATCCCTTTTCATTAAAACTATGCATTAAATTACTGGACACCAGATAAAATACATGGAAAAATAAGAAAAATTATGTAGGGCATATTTGAGGTTGCATGGGATAGGAGTATAGTCAACAAGGCTGTAAGTTTTTGTGTTGTTTTGTTTTTCTATGCAAAAATAGTTATTAAGCCACTAAAAATTTTTACGTGTTTTTAAAGCCATATTAACATTTTCTGGATGTGTAAAGTTACTTTATATAAATGCTAGAAATGAGCAAAACAAGAACTCAAAAACCATGGTTTTAATAATTTTGTTAGGTTATAAATTTTATATGATATATCAACTAAGAAAATACTAGGATATTTTACTTTTTAGATAGGATTTTAAAAATCTGCTTAAGCACGTCAGCTTTACTCTGTGGTTTTCAAACACTGGTATGGGTGCACAGACTTTTTAAAGCCTTTGGGCACAAAACTGGTAAAATGTGGTTTTAGTTATTGACATGCCTGTGCAACAAAGCATTTGAGAGGTGTGACTGACAAACAGGAGTGTATATAAGGGAAAACCTATGCTTATGTTTGCCTCAGTGACTTTATTAGCCACACCTTAACTGCAAATTGTAAACTGTCATTCAAAGTAGCACAGTGATGTTTTAAACAAGTCATATTCTAATATCCCTACTTTTTTTGCCTTAATGCCTAGAGGTAAATTCAGAAAGTACTCCTATGTTTTGACTCATGAGAGCATCCATCTGAAAAAAATTAAGAAACCCTAATAGTAAAGAGCAATGCAAAGAAGATTTATGGAAGCATACATACATGTAAATTGTATATTTACACATCACAATTACCTAATTCAATCTTCATTATAGTTCAGCAGCTATTTCAGATTGAGAACAAAGAAAATCATGCCATTAGTTTTTGAGGCAAATTTTAAACCAATATTAAAAACATATTCTTAACTATATACTGAATTAAAATACATTAATATCAAGGACATCACTGGAGACCTTTATTATCTTTATAAAGAATTATAGAACAATCTAGTTTAAAGCATGGTATATTTTATGAGACATACCTACTACTACTTTACATTTTAAAATAAATTCACAAGGCTCTTTGCTGGTTCTTGCTTGCTGTTTACAGTCGCCATGAACTGCAGCCCAGCCATGCCCGCCTGTCTTAGAGCCAACTGAGTGTGGATTGAAATCTCCAAAAAGTACACTCTGTACCCAGGAACGAACTAAGCTGAGAGAAACCAACTGGAAATGCACTCCTGATGCTATGACCGGAAGAGATAAAATCTCAGTGCTGAAGCTGGAACCCGTGTCTCTGAAAACTGTGATTTTAATTTCCTGCCGCAGCTGCTGTGTCTGAATCAGCACAGCAGGGATAGAGATGTGAAAGCTCTGAGAGCAGGAATCAGTGAACCGAATTGAGAGTGCAACTGGTGAGGAGCCCTCCATCGGCCTGCAGTGAGTGGGAGGAATGGGGACCCTTCCATAGACTACAAGGCTCCAAAAGGACATTTGGGGACCAGGCAAACTAGCCAGAACAGGACACTGCAGTGACTTTAGTCGCATATTCCCCTTTCAAGCAGGATTGGTGGGGAGCACCTGACCTGGATAAAGCCATGGACTAAGACCAAGTAGGCTAGCACAAACCAGGTCCCAGTGCCTGGCAGTGCACTCTAGCAGTGAAGCCTTCAGGAGGTTGACCTGGAGGGGCGAGCCCAACATATGCTGCCCCAGTCTATGTCTCCCTAGTACACTGCAGGGGGTGGGAACACATACCCAGTGGATTCAAACAAACTGTAACTGACAAAGAAAGAAACTGAGCCTCCTATATATACCTATATGAGAGGAACAAAAAATATGAGAAGAGGAGGATGGATCCTCGGTCCCCAATCCTGAGAACACTGATCCAGGAAAGGTAAATGCAAAGGAATGAGGCCAGAAAACATGCAATATCAAACACAGCACCAATAGGCATAAAGCGATATCTCCGGAGCCTCATAGACAAGTTCAAAAGTGAAGTATTTAACGAAGTAAAGCAAGATATAAGTAGAATAGCTAGAGAAATGCTAAGCACCGCCCAAGAAAAAACAGATGGTAGAATGGAAGAACAGAAAAAAAGGGGAGAATTGTTTGATGGAGAAAATAGAGAAAACATAGAATACATAAGGCAAGTTCAAAGAGATTACCAAGAAACTAAAAACTCTATTGAAAGATGGTGTAAAAGCTTGAAAGAAACTAAGGACAGATTATCTGAACTGGAGGACAGATTTGTAATGTGGGAGCATGAAATGAAAAACTTCTTAAAAATAACAAGGAAACAGCAATAATACAAAGGCAGGAGGATGATAAGAGGATCTACAACTTAAGCGTAAAGGAAGAAGTACGGACACAAATAAACTACAAAGGCTATTCACAGAAATAATCCAGGAGAATTTCCCTAATTTAGCAAAAGGTAAAGATACTCAGATGAATGAGGCATACAGGACCCCAGCCACCTAAACCCAAACAGAGCAACACCCAGGCATATAATAATCAAATTCCAGAAATCTAATATAAGAACAGAATATCAAAAGCCGTCAGAGACAAGAAACAGATCACTTACAAGGGAACACCCATCAGAATTATAGCAGACTTCTTGGCACAAACCATCAAATCATGAAGAGCATGGGGGGAAATAATTCAAGCTTTGAAAGATAATAACCTCTAGCCAAGATTAATATATCATGCACAACTGTCCCTAGAAATTAATGGAGAAACAAGGTGCTTCCAGGATAAAGAGGAACTGGGGGAATTTGCAACCACCAATTCTACTCTACAGAGAATACTGCAGGACATTTTAAAAAAGGAAAATACCAGGATTCCAGAAACAGTGGCAGAGAGGCCACAATGAATGGAGCAGCAAGCGAAAATGAAGAAGACAAACTGACAACTAATGACAAAAAAAGAGCTCAACAGAAAAGAGGCAGAGCTGGGTGGTAGGAACAGCTATTTTGGAGAAAACAAGACATCATAATAGCTAGTGCTGATTTAATATCATCGTGTTTTGAAGTCTCATCAAGCTTTTGTTCTTCTGTCTCCATCGGTCTTAACATGTTGTATCTTATTGAATTTTATTATATGTGATAATATAAACAAAAACTTTTATAGACAAGGAGATTATACAGAAACCATTGTTCATTTTCTGTTAGTTGGTTCTAAATACCCTGTAATACTGTCATTCTCTTCAGTGGTTTTACATTGTCTTGATACGTTTGATGTTACAGTACACGAAGTTATACTCAGAGATTTCAAGGAAAGAGACATTATGGTAACTACATTTATGTAGGGATATCTTGTGGTGAAACACTATTTTGCGTAAATGGTTCTGACCTGTGCTGTTTTGTTGTTATATTCTCTTTTATCTCAATATCCTTTTTTTATTATTTGCTTTTTTATTTTTATCTTTTTAATTAAGTGAAAAAATAAAAAATAGCAGGATATATTATAGTAACCCACTTTGATTTCCTATTAACTTGATTTGAAACCCTGTGTTGCTTTCGTCATCTTGTTTTGACTGATTTTCCTCTATTCTGTTTTGCTTGATAGTACCAAGTTTGAGAGTATAGGCAGCAACTGTGAAGACAGTAAGATTCACTATGACGCCTATTCTGATTTGACTATTACCTTCTTTTGAAATCCTGTAATGTCTCCAATGTTTTGGTTTTATTGGTTTTGTTCTTTACTGTTTTGTTCAATTTTATTATAACTGATGATATAGGCAATTCTTTTTAAGATAGTAAGAGGCATTATGGCAACGATTGTTGATCACCTTGTATTCTGTTTTTACATTATGTATTATGCCCATCCTTTTGATTTGACTGACTCTGTTCTGCTATGTCACATTTGGTTTTACTCTCTTAAAAAAAAATTAATAAGAATTGTGGGAGTAATAAAACCCAAAATGTGTAATTGTCATTGTAAAAAATAGAGGAAAAGAAAGTGCTCTAAAGGGTATAACTGCATGTATATTGAAGTGTATAAGATAGATAACCATATTACTGAGTTTTGTTGGATCATTGAACAGAATTGTTTGCAGTCTCACTGTTTGAATGTCCACTTTATATGCTTTAATTTTGTAACTTGAAGAACTATTTCTAAGATGACAATATGTAATCTATTAACTAGTGATTTCCTCCTGTTTATTTTTTCTGAAATTCTGTATACGTTGTACCCTTTTTCTGTTTTTCTCTCCTTAAATAAAACTTAAAAAAAATAAATTCACAAACAAAAATGAATTCACATCATACATCTTAACAACCACACTAATTTGAACTGAAATGAGTGAAAATATAGGTATTGTAGATTATGACTTGTTACTAATAGTCTGAATATTCATTTCTGAATATAAGGTAATTTGTTCTCAATCATTCTTAATAAAAGTAATATGAACTCATCAAAAATTCAAACTGTACAAACAGGTATAGTATAGTAAAAGGATATCCCATTAACTCCTGCTTTTCCCTTGACCAAAAACCTTTCTTGCAATAAAATAATATTGTTGTCTAAATTTTCATAATGTAATAATTTATATCTTGCTTTTAGTTAAGTATCAAAGCTATTAATTCTTATATGATGAGTTATCAAGTTAAATCCTGTCTGTGCCTCAACTTTTAGTCTATACAATTGTTAATAGTTTAGTGTCCAGTAGTGAAACTTCTAATTTTTCTTGTCTGAAGGACATGCATATGAGATAACCTTAGGAAACATTTAGTAGTGTGATGTTTTCCTGTAGGTCCCATTCTGGAATTCTTGGGGGAAGTTTTTTTTTTTTCTTTTAAAGAGAATAAAACAAAAGAGAACAGAACAAAGCAAATCAGGACGGAACAATGAGCAACACAGCACTTCACAATCAAACAACCAGACATCTACAGTAGCTACCATCATGTATCTTTCCTTTGAAATAGTTGAGCATACCTTCACACACATTAATATCAAATATACTAACCCTAACCCTAACCCTAACCATTCAAAAGAATGAAAGCATTATAGGGCTTCAAAATCAAATAAAAGGAAATGAACAATGGCTATTATAATATCTCATTTTCCTCAAAATATTCTCTATACTGTCACACATAATAAAATCAAATAAACCACAATAGGATAGAACCATTCAAAACAGAAGAATAAGAGTGTGATAGAACTTCAAAACAAGATGACAGGAAATCAGCAATGGCTACCATAACATCTTGTTTTCTTCAAAATGGCTGTTCATACCATCACACATAACAAAATCAAACAAAACAGAATAAAACCAATCAAACAAGTGAAGGAATGCATTATAAGACTTCAAAGCAATATAATAGGAAACCATGATTACCATAATATATCCCATTATATTCAAAATAGCTTCCCCTACCATCTGATAGGATAGAATCTAGCAAAACAAGACAGAACAAAGCCAAACCTAACAAAAATGTGTAAACAATGCAAGAGTTCAAGATAAGACAATAAGAAATTGACAGTAGTTTCCACCTTTCCCTCTCAGGTATTTCCTCCCCTTTGCTCTTACATTAACTATTTTGCTTTTAACTCCCTCTGTTTCTTATGCTAGGATTCACATGTATGAGTTTGAAATGTTTTGGCCATGAACATGTTCTCCAGTTGCATCCATATACCTACAAGAGTCTTGAGATTATTCTACTTTATAGCTGAGTAGCTTTCCATTGCATGAAAATACCATATCTTTCTTAGCCATTCTGCAGTTGATGGGCAAGTAACTCTTGCTTTTTTTTTTTTTTCAGTCTCCTGTCACATTTAATTGTTTTGTCTCCTTTGATTTTCAGTCTATGAATTTCCTTTCCAGTTAAATGTGTTTCTTGTATACAGTGCATCGATGGATCTTGTTTCTTGGTCCACTCTCCCTGTGTTTCTTTTTATTGCTGACCTGAGGCCACCTACATTAATGGTTCCAACCAGCATACATTAGTTTGTCTCTGCCCTGCTATCCTCCTGTTGGTGGCTCTCCACTTTTCCCCTTCATTCAATTGCCTGTCTTGTTTGGTGATCATCTACTGCTGCTGTTCCTGGAGCCATGGTCATCTTTATCTCTCTCTAGAATATTGTTTAGCACTCTCTGTAGGGTTGGTTTGGTAGTCATGAATTTCTTCAGTTGTTCCTTATCATGGAAGTATCTTATTTTTCTATCATTTTTGAAGGGTAAGTTTTTCTGGGTAGATCAATCTGGGTTGGAAGTTGTTTCTTTCAGGGTTTGAAACACTTCACTCCAAACTCTTCTTGACTTGATTGTGTTGATAAGTCTATTCTGATTATGACTGGTTTTCCTTTTTGGTGATCTGTCTCTTTTCTCTAACAGCTTTTCATATTCTATTCTTGTGCTGAATTTCTGGGATATAGATTATTACATGTCTGGGTGTAGATTTACTTTGGTTGTGGCTAGTTGGAGTCCTATATGCCACACTTGCCTGCATGCCAGATCCATTTCCCATGTTTGGGAAGTTTTCTTCTATTACTTCTGTGAATATCCTTTTAATTTCATTTGTGTTGACCCCTGCTTTTTCACCTATACCTGTCACTCTTTAATTTATGCTTCTTTGCATTATCTTGCAGTTGTTGGGTTGCTATTTTCTTGATTTTGTGGTATTTTTTAAGGAATCTTTCCTTTCATGATCACTATCTGCAATTCTGTCTTCAAGTTTTGAAAGTCTATCTTCAGTCTCTTTCAAGAAGTTTTGCCAGCTTTTGATTGAATTTTTAATCTCCTGCGTCTCTCTTTGAATCTGTTTCATGTCTTGTAATTCCTTTCTACACTCATTCAAGGCTTGCATCATTTTCCTGTGCTCCTCTTTATTGTCTCTGTCTTCTTTAAACCTGCTGAACAATTCTTCAGTATGTTTGTGATTTCTTCTTTTACCTGAGACATTATTTCTGATTTGACTGCTTTTACAATCTCATGAATTTGTTTCCTTCAGTTGCTATACTCTCAGAGATTTCAGGTGTGTGATATCCGTTTTCTTCCATGACTGTATCAGCCAGACTTATTCTGTGTGGGCTAAAGGTCTCAGTTTGCCTTTTGCTCTTCCACCTTGACATTCTTCTGGGTTCCTCCCAACGAGCTGGTTAGGGGGCTCCAGGCACCTCCCATGTTGGCTGCCTCTAAGCAGTGTAGGGGAATGAGGCAGACACCTGGGTTATTTGCAGGGAGATAGCAGGGCTTGGAGCAGACTTCTCTGGGCCTGTGCAGCTACACTGTGGCTTTGCTGATGATCAAGGGTACATGGAGGTGGGGCTACTTTTCTCAGCCTGCGTGTCTACACTGGGACTCCCATTATGGTGGCAGACACATAGGAGTGTGCTAGTGGGTGATGGCTGCCTGAAGTAACAATAGGCCTTCAAAGGTGGCCTACGGATGCACAGGGCTTACCTGGCAGTGTATCCCTGCTCCTGCTTGTTGCCTGCTGGCAGGAAGCATCCTTCTGGTGACAGCTCCCTGAGGGTAAAGGTGGATCTGCTGGTTCTCTCTGCCCATGCTGGCCACCTGTACCATGTGGTCTTTTGGTAATCCCAAAAGTATTTGAGAGGCTGAGGCAGGAGGATTGCTTCAAGTTCAAAGCCAACCTAAACTACAGAGTGAGACTACTAAAAATCACTTTTAGCTTATAGATTACTGAAAATAGGCAGTGAATAGGAATCAAACTCAGGACCTTGTGCTTGCTAGGCAGGTACTGTGCCACTAAGCTATATTACCAGCCCTTATTTTTAATTTTGTAATTAATTTTACACAAAAAGTTGTAATTTTGGGTAAAATATGACATTTTAAATATTTTAAAAATAATTAATAGAAACATCATTCAGAATTCAAAAGATATAAATAGTTTCTAGTGAAAATTTCCTCCTAAACCTGATCTGTAGT